CATCATATTTTACATTGTTGCATACAACAACGTTAAGAAACATACGGCCAAGAGCAAAACCAAAAATTATTCAAAAAGTGAGAGTTCTAAAACATAGTTGCGAGCATCTTCAGATCAAAGCAAGCACGTGGCTAAAGTAACCTTTGCCAAGTCCTGAGGCTCATAAGAACTAAAACATGAAAATGCTTAAAAACCAGTGACAAATGATTTTGGATATACACATCCGAAATTATGATAGGTGAGTTCGGATATGTTATTCGGACAAAGTGTACATGTTTCAGCTTAAAGAACAGATTAATGCAAGCAATGAGGGATAAAATGAGGAAACTTTATCTTAAATTGCAGCTTATTTTGTTCTCTTTGATGTGATAAAATGCAAAAAATCTGATTTGAAATCGAAAAGTTGATTGAAAAAGATTTTTTTAAGGGTTTTTGGTTATGGAAGGAGTTTGAAGAGTGAGGAAGATGATCATTCAAAGTGGCTATATGTTCAATTTTCCGTTGGAGATTTTTGGAGATACATCTCCGAAAATATCACTGAGTGGTTAAAAAAATCTTCTAAATGAAACTGTTGAAAAATGGCTTCGGGGGTATGTTCAGAGATGTATCTACAAATTAATTTTGGATTTATTTGGAGATACATCTCCGAACTAAATTTTGTCAAAAAATGATATTTTATGTGTTTCAGAGATGTATCTCCGAATAAACTCAACCGTATTTTGAAGTTTTCAGAGATGCGCCCCCAGTAAGTAAGGGTGTAATGAGAATTTGGCATATTATAAGTATAATATTATGCGTTAAATATATTTTCGGTCCCTATAAATTATCAAATTTTATTTTTGGTCGCTACAAAAAAACATACATGTTTTAGTCCATACAAAGTTATTACGCACGTAGTTTTAGTCCTTGTTGTTAAACCAATGTGTATTTTTGAATGATTATTTTACAGACATGTTTAGAACGTTATAAAAAGTTCCTCGGAAAAAAAAGAACGCAAACTTTGATTTCTAAGTCGAGATTTTCATTGTTCTTATCAATATCTTTTGAAATTTAAAAAATTCATATTTAATTCTTCTCATTTTAAAAAATTCTAAAATTTGGTAAATAAATATTTTATAGTATTCTAAACAGTTTTGAAAAAAATTGTTCAAAAATTTAAAAATTTCAGGATAATTAAATAGTTTTCAATTTTTTATTAAATAACAAGGACTAAAAGCATAAATTAAAATTTTATAGGGATCAAAATATGTCATGTTTTTAATAGTGACTAAAAAATGAAATTTGATATATTTACATAAACCAAAAATATATTTAACCCTAATAAAAATTATGAAATCATGCAAATCTACCCTCTTAAATTTTCAATCATAGTTGTATCAAAGAAAAAAACAGGTTATAATAGTATTAGTTTCACACTTCTCATGCACTCCATGAAATTTGGTGAATGTCTTATAATTTTATAACAAAAAATAAATAATAAAAAAGTTAAATAAAGAACTGTTTGGGTGTTCTATATCTAATCAAAATGTTAATGTAAGTGTCGCATTGTTAGATAATGTTAATATAAGTATCACACGGGAGCAGATTCTCTCCCGTGAGAATCTCTTCAGTTAAATCTTGATCGTCAATTAAATGCTTTAAAATATATAAATAAGTAGCGAATGGATTTGAATGGCTATGATTAACACGGATTAAAAAATCAATAAAAAATACAATGGAGAGGATCCATTCCCGTGTCGGGAATCGATTCTCTCCCGTGATAATCTGTTCAGTTAAATCATGGCCATCAATTAAATGGTTTTAAAATATATAAATAAGTAGGGAATGAATTTGAATGGCTATGATTAACACTGGTTAAAAAAATCAGTGAAAAATACAATGGAGAGGATCCATTCCCGTGTCGAAAACAGATTCTCTCCCTTGAGAATCTCTTCAGTTAAATCTTAGCCATCAATTAAATGCTTTAAAAATATATAAATCAGTAGGGAATGTATTTGAATGGCTATGATTAACACTGGTTAAAAAAACCGGTGAAAAATACAATGAAGAGGATCCATTCCTGTGTCAGGAGCAAATTCTCTCTCTCGTGAGAATCTCTTCAGTTAAATTCTGGCCATCAATTAAATGCTTTAAAAATATATAAATAATTTAGAAATGGATTTGAATGGTTATGATTAACACTGGTTAAAAAATCAGTGAAAAATACATAGTTAGATAATCATATAATCATATCATTATCATTATGATTCAAAATTGAAGGTCCGAAAGTCCATCTCCAAAATGCATCTCAAAATTAAGTTTTGACAAAAATAAATAACACTAATTTACGCTGAAAAGTAAGTAAAAGATGTACGTTTAGAATGTATCTCCGTAATAAAATAAAATCCCTAAGAATGAGAAATGTAACCCATAAAATATTTTAAGCCGAGATAGTCTTTCGTTAACTTGTCACCCCCCACATTATACATGGCACTCCTCAAATGGTATGAAAAGACTAAATTGTCCAGATTCAAATCATTCACCACAAATTTCAAATTCACGTTGTCAACCGTATTTTTCAATTTTTTGGGGGATACCGGAAATTTCAAAGGCGATTGGAAATTTTGCGAACAAGTGAGAATTTACGGTAGATTTGTGAAATTTCCGGTATTTTGTACCAGAAATTTCAAAATATCTGGTATTTTCGTTCGGAAGTTTCAAAATATCCGGTATTTTCATTTATCATTTATATTGGAAATTTTGAAATTTTCGGTGCGTCACAGAATACCGGAAATTTTGAAATTTCCGGTAGTTCAATTGTTTTTGAAAAAATACCGTAAATTTAGAAATTTCCGATGGTTTATATTTTCCTGATATTTTCTTATTTTGCAGTGAGAATTAGAGGCAGAGATGGTTCTATTGCGGGACGGACCACTGATAGAGCTGATGTTGAAGCCCGTGCTGACGAGGCACAGGCTTCAGAGCTACGGGTTGGACGCCGTCTCCCGACCGGTTCTCACCGAAAATAGATAGCTGAGCAAAATGTGTAGTTTGGCGAATCGGTCTTAGAGTATCCACTATTGAGGAGGTACATGCTCCTACGGAGGAGGTACATGCTCTTACCGCAGAGGTACATGCTCCTACTGCGGAGGTACAGGCTCCTGCTCCTATTGTGGAGCCGGTAGCTGAGGAGCACATTGTGGAACCTCTGGTGCAGGAGCCTGAGCAGAAGGTTGTTGCTGAGCAAGTTGATGAGGTGTCCCCCGCTGATACAGATACCACGACTCATGCGTCTACAGAGCCATCAGTACACACAGATGGAGGTTTCCTTGGAGGACCTTCAGACAGGTTTTCCATGGCGAGGTATATACTTTTGGTTTTGATTAATTGCAAAAAAATTATTTTGCTTACAAGATTTTGTGTATAATAATTTGTTTTTGCTCTTACAGGAGCGTCCAGTGTTAAAGGTCGATTCTCATGGTTTAAAGTTGAAGAATTTCTTTGAGAGTCTCATGCCTGAGGAGGTGAAGAGGATCATTAGCGAATTCCATCTCCTAGAGTTTGTTGATTGCTCCTTGAGCATGCTGGATGCCTCCTTTTTATCAGCTTTTATTGAGAGGTGGCATCCGGAGACATCATCCTTCCATCTTCCATTTGGGGAGATGACGGTGACTTTAGATGATGTGGACACCCTCTGTCATATTTCGATTGCTGGTACGTTTTTTACACCAGTTTATAGGGACCAGGCGACGGCGGTGCGCATGCTTATGGAGGATTTGGAGGTTTCTGAGTTGGAGGTGCTAGAGGAGTTTGGTGAGACTCAGGGATTTCACCTTCGGATGTCTTGGTTAAGGAGGGTGTATAAAGAGTTTGTGGAGGCACGGAGGTACGAGGCTACCGCTAGGGCGTACATGCTACATCTAGTGGCATGTACTCTCTTTGTGAACAAGTTTGAAGTTTATATTGATGTTCAGTATTTGTCTCTCTTCAGCGCACTTGACACTCCATGTTGGGCTTGGGGAGTGCGGCCTTGACCATGTTGTACACGGAACTTGACGTTGCTTCTCGTCCTGAGACCAGGTAGCGTGCTGGTTACCCCAGCTTGTTCCAAGTATACTATAATTTATTTGATGGTTTTTATTAATATTTTGTGTATTTATCTGTTGGTTTTTACTTATGCAGTGTTGGATATACGAGCACTTCCCTCACATCTGTGAGCGGAAAATCCAGCGTGTCACGGCATCTGAGCCATGTGCGAGGAGATGAAAGGCCAAACAAGCCATTCTAGAAGGTTTGATGGAGTTTTGGAGGAGGCTTGACGCTTTGACCTTGGATGATGTTGTCTGGACACCATATACATATCATCTCCTTCATCGTCCATTTGAGGTATCTACTTTATATTCAGGGCATATTAGATGGGAGAGCCATGTGGCTAGACACTTGCCTGAGAGGTGTCTACGCCAGTATGGTTATGTGCAGGGCATTCCTCGTCCAGTTCCAAAGTCTCCAACTGGTGGCATTGATAAATGGTTTCAGAGTCACATCCTCACCTCCCCCCGTGAGATCATGGATACAACCGTCGAGGTTCAGCAGCCTAGAAAGTGTGGGGATGGATACCTGAAATGGTTTCATAGTGTATCACACCCTCGGGTCATACCATCGACTGCATCATTTGATGTTCTAGAACCTTCTGGTACTAGCTCATCTACCGAGCCACCACCTCCACCACTTGTAGGAGATCAGCACAGCTGCCTCCAGTTTATTGCAGTTCATGTTGAATGTCTCATGGGTTTGACAAACCCAAATGGTGAGATCTATAGAGGTTTAGCTAGGTTAGCCGAGGTAGCCCGTGGAGGGTCTATGTAGATCTATTTTATTTTGATTGTATTATATGTATATTTTGTGACAAAAAACTTCTTATTTATTGCATAATATTTTGGTGAAAACATAGAACAGTACAACAAACATAAAACAGTACAACAAACATAATCCTAAAACAACTAAACAAAATAACATAGGCACTACCAAATGATTCTAGACGTTTCAGACACTTTATTATATCGTCTTCGAATATGCGCATCCAACTCGATCGGACCTTTAGTTATCCTACGGCGAAATGATTTCCACATGGCCTTCACATCTTCATCATTCTTCAACTCGATTAGGTTGTATTTCACCCTTTCATTTGTATCAATCCAATCCTCTTGAAACTCTACCTTTGTTAACCTTCTGTCATCGGAATCAGACAGCAAATTATTCAACGTTTCTTTCAATGTGGCAAAAGATTTGAAGGCATCTGAAAGCTTGAATTCAACATGAGCGTTGTTGTCGTTGTAATACATTTATGTCCTAATAAGAAATTGAGGAAGAGACATTTTTTTACATGTGTTTTCTCTATAACAAATATCCTTATTTATATAAATGGTGATGCATTCGAGACCACACAAATGTGCCAGTGCAATCAGAATCATCCAAATATGTCGACAAAATCTCAGCCGTTCAAAAAACTATATTTGTATTACTACACAAATTGCAAATTAATTAAAATTTCTAATATACCAAAAATTTTAAATACACTATCAAAAATTTATGGTACCAGAAATTTAGTAGGAATGTACCGGAAATTTAGGTGATACCAGAAATTTGGATGATACCAAAAATTTCGTCCGCCAATTATATTCAACTCATCCAAAGATAAAAATAAAATAAAAAAATTGGAGGAATGTAATGAAAAATTTTGAGGGTCGCATGTTAAATTCTCCAAATTCTCCAAAGAACAATCTGAACAATTGTTGGATCAATTTGCCTAGATCTTACGAGATCGACTTGTATTAATTGTTTTTTTGGTTTTAATAAAGTATTCTTTATTTTAAAATTTAAAAAAAAACAATCTGAAGAATCATGTCCAGAGAAGTTGCATCCAAAGAAAATCATTGCTATAACTCTAAGAGACATGTCCAAACCAAATTTGTATGTTCATTCAAACCATCTCTTCACTTTATCATAATAGATAGAAGAAAAGGTTTTACAAAGAGAAAATACATTTTTATTAAAAATCATAATGTACATCGACTAGCACTTCAAAAGGGGTCACAAATGATTAAAAATACAGGTACAACAAACGGGAAAAAGCCACCATCTTGACTCAAATGCTCGTTCTTTACTAACTTAAACCCCTCCTCACAAAATGGGAGCTCCCTTAATGTATGTATACATTTCCTATTTTCCTGTATCTGTAAATAGACATTGCACCCCAAAGGGATCTCTCTATTTTATGAATTCTAAAACTTTCTGAGTTATATCTTCAAGGAAGGAAACAAAACCCATCACACTTGTAAGACCACTTCCATCAACATCCTGCTCCTCAATCAGAAAGTTCTCAAAAACTGAGGCATCGTCATGCCCTCCTCGAATAAAAATGAGTTTAGGAGTGATGGATCTTTCTTTCTTCAATATGTTGATTGTAGTCCTTAACAAGCCTGACAAGGTATTTTGCATATAATTTAGACAGACCGCGTTATACTGATGCAAATTAATCCAATGCAGATAGAAGAAAGAAAAAAATAGAGAAGGCTTACAGTCATGGGGTGGAGGAAAAGGAAGTGTTGGGTCTGCAGTTGAGGAATAAAACACAATCAGAACTGTGAATGCATCCAGGAAAAATATCGGACTGCCACTGGTAAGCAGTGCAGCACGACTCAAGGAATGGCGAGGATATGCTTGTTTGTCTGGAGTAGCATATGATGTCAATACTGGATACACAGCACGATGAAGGGAACTCGGTTCCAAAGCACTGCAACACATGAATTACATAATCAATTTGTGAATACAGAATCTCAAAACAACAAACCGACGCTTCAGAAGCTTGGCATTTTTATCATTTGGTTACCCGATTAACAACCGGTATCCTTATCTTTCAACTCACTTTTATTAAAATTTAAACCTATTAAAGTCTAGGAAAATTTGTTCAAAGGTAACCTTTATTTCTAAATTAAATGTACACACAGACTTGTAAATCAGTTATGAATTATGGTTGGTTCTACAATCATCAACAAACCAAGGAAATGAATTGTCATACAGTTTTATCTTATTGAATGCAACTATTTTTCATTTAATGCTTTCCATGTTTTGTTCTCTAACATATGGACATTTGTTAACAAAATCGTCACACATTTTGAACATTACCTTTGTGTGTTAGACTCAATCAGCTTTATATTTAGTCTATTTCCTTCTACCAGACGACATGACGTGATCATGCAAACTCCATTGCTCAAAAAAAAAAAAAGAGAGAGCATCAATTACCTAAACAGGCATTGAAGATAGATGCGATAGTCAGGATGAACACCTTCTTCGTGGAAGCGAAGAAGAGGGTTTCGCAGGAGCGCAAAGATTAGGCGTGGTAGGGGCTGCAGTTGAGGACATTGAGAGAAGGCAACATCAATCTGAGATCTTGTTGAACTTCCATTACTATACTGAACAAGTTTATAAGCATCATTGTACTGGGCTGCAAGGATCACTAGCCATTCTTGAAGCAAAAGTCTACCCTCCCGAACCCCTTCCTCCAAAGAGGCGAGTATAACCTGCAAAGTACAATACGAGTAAATTAATCAGAAAATTGAGTTGAAAACAACCAACTCATTATTATTAGTTTTAAGAGGAGTACAGGACATGAGAATACTGTTATTGCGGCAATTATATATTAGTAACAATAGTTGACAGATTCAAAAAAAAAAAAAGCATAACACATGTGTGTCACACATCAGAGTTAACTTTGAACAGTAGAGCAGAAAGCTAACATCAATCCAAATGATATACAATTCAGGTTGAATATATAATTCACCTTGTGCACGAGCAAAGATAGAACCACTTCAGGATCACAGCTGTCGTAAAGTTCGTGAATGTCCTGGGCAACGCCAAACTGCACTGTTCGGATCCTTAGCCGGCGTTGAAGGGAATGATGCTTTGTTCTGTAACAAAATTAAGTAAATCAAACTAAGCCCAAAAAGCCTTTAATGCACCGTTCAGTAAACTTTGGATCTTTGAAGAAACTGATACATTTAAGCATATTTACAGAAGACTAGGAAGATGAACCATAAATATCAATAATGAAATGGAATTGGCATTCCAAAAGCAATTGTCACAGACCACAACAACCCCAAAATCTTGAGAGTGAAGAGTAACAACAGCATTAGCAACTAAATGCATAATAACATCTCGTGCTCAAGTTAACAGTAGCAATTTTCTTAGGATGTAAAAAGTAGAACTCATGACATGAATTAAAAAATATATATCTATTGTGCCAAGACAGCCTCTCAAGATATCACATAATTGATAGTATCAGTGAGAATTAATGAACCGCTATAATTAAAGGCACACTACAGAACAAACCCAACAAAAAGACCAGCAGGAAGATGGAAAGAAACAAAATTCTTATATACAGATACAACTATTTAAAACTATTCATCAGAGAATATGTTGCAAATTTCACAAGAACAATGTTTTCCATCACGAATCAGGCCCCTGTGAAGAGAAAACCAACAAATATTCCTTAGGAAATGTGCTGAGGTATTCATTGGAACTTGTTTCAAAATGTTCAAAGAGCAGAGTCTTTGGTTCAAAAAATGTTAAGCTATTGGTTGTGTTGGACAAATGATTCATACACAATTCATACTTCACAATCTAGTGGAGACTAAACAAAACCTAGAAATATAAGACATCTCATCTTCAACTAACAGATAATAATATTCCTATTGGACCTTTGAACTTGTAATAAGAGAATATACAAAAACTTTGGTCGCAAAAGAGAAGCCTTTGTCAAGGAACAAGCAGCAAACTTCAGAAGATACACTTTATGCCCAGTGATAAAAGAAATAAGTGATACAGTAGTAGTTTAGAAAAGTAATTAATATATTTAAATGAACGAATTTGACCATGAAAAAAATAGCATTACACCCATCATACATGATATGTAAAACATCCATACAGCAGAATGTGAATATATACCTGCTTGTAGATACCCCTCCTGAACTGGAAAGCTCCTGAGGAGGAACTACAACTGAGTACTGAAATGCAATCTGGAGTGTAGGAACATCTGATTTACTCCTACAAAAAAAGACAATAAAACTTTATCTGAATAGGAACCATGTCATACAAGTACTCCTATCTTGTGGTAATATGATATCAAATGATAGTAGATATTCAACAATTTTTAGTTTAAAAACTCTCTTGCATTCACTCACGTGCCAACAAGAGTATTATATTTATATTTATCTAACCCAGCACTCCACCGTGATTCCAGGAAAAATAATATGGATGTCTAATCTTTTGTTAGTCCAGGGTTTCATTTTTTGGGAGAAATCTAGAGGCAAGCATGAACAGTTCTGTCACATTCTGATTTCTGATATAACCAGCAGTTGGGTTTGATAGTGTGCGCAAGGGCAGTTTGGTTACATTCAGTTATATATGTAATTAGAGTTCAGTACTTCAAAACAAAAGATATAAACGATGTAAATTTATTTGGACTGTCTTAGCCACAAACATAAAAAAATCACACTACTCATTGTCAATGTCAAGCAAAAGCAGTGTGTGAGAATATAAGATAGGACTATTCATTGTCACACTAATCATTGTCAATGTCAAGAGCAAAAGCAGTGTGTATGAATATACGATAGGACTGTTATAGCCACAACCATAAATATTGAAATTAAATTTCCCTAAGTTTCAACAGATTAGATTGGATTGTCTTAGTTTTCAAATCACTGCCACTCCAGAATTCAGCAGAAGAACAAAAGACCTAAACAAACAGAGTTAAAGCTCGCACAAACCTATGAAGCACACACACCTCTAGGAGCAGGCGTGTCGCAGTGTCCAACACTTGTATGACACCCGTACGACACGGGTTGGAAAAGTCATACAAGTGTCCCAAAAAATGGTTTTTTTTCTTTGCTTCGACGCTCTTTAAATCGGTGTCCGACACCCGTATAGCATTCAAACGACACGTGTCAGACAATTCAGAGAAGTGTTGCAAAAAAAAATTGTTCTTTTATTTGCTTCAACACACCTTATATATTTTTTTGGACAAATCTCACACACATCTTAAAGGGTTAAACATGTTTTGAAGCATTGTTGATCAATAAAGGATTAAAGACATTAATTTTGATTTAAATATGTTTAACTTTTTTAATAATAGAGGGGTAAATGAAGGTAAAATACTATCATATATGTAGCGGTGTCAGTGTCCTATATTTTTTGCATTATCGGTGTTGAATGTCCATGTCGTGTCCCAGTGTCTGTGTTGGAATTCGTGCTTCTATAAAAAAGGCCAAGTTTACTTTGTGTGAAACCACGCACATGCACAACAATTGATAGAAAAACTAAAGTTTGGAGTTTAGTTATTTGGACTGCGTTGCAATAAAGATATAAAGTCTGAATAACACAAAAGTACAAGACTTAACATGACGTGTCCAACTTCTGAATGCACGCCATTTAAACAGTCACGTAACTATATATAAGAATTCAAGTCATAAAATTGAAGACGTGATAGTAACAAGTAATGATTTATACCTCGAAAACCCAATGTTGTTCTCAAACATAAAGTCATAAGCATATGTAGCATATGAATCACAGCATATTACGTGTTGAACATTTTCATACTGTGGATCTGGAAAGAAGTGACCATACTGCAATACAGTACTAAGTTATTGTATAGATTATAAGAAGATGCAAAAGTTGAGAATTACAAATCCATCCAATACAACACACTTACAGAATTTCCAGGTTTAAATTCAGTTGAGGTTCTTAATCGCAATACACAACCAAAAGCATATGGCCTACTCAGCATTCGATACCTGCAAAGAGAAAGACATCAAAATATATGATAAAAAGCATAAGTGGTCAATATCATTGCTATTCATGAAAGTCTTCACTTTACTACATATCATCATTGATATTTAAGATGGAAGTGCAACAATTCAGATTTCAAAAACATTTGTTTAATTATCAAATGTGAGTCCACATTTATCACTTAAGGTAAGTGATTGATAAAAGCTTAAGTGTTCAGTTTAATTAGACTTGATAACTTTAAAACATGTATATATGATAATATGCTTTCATTTTCATATGGTTAGCACAAAAATATCCAGTCGGATTAAGGAGGAAAAAATGGTAATGTACAACCTCAAACCAAGATTGTATTGAAGACATGGATACACAGACAATCAGCAAATATTGAATATCTATTTCCTATTGATGCATATCAAACAGTTGAAATGATTTTACCGGTAAAACATGTCTAAACAGATGATGTTTACAGATGAGACTTACATATCCTGAGGCAAAGTTGAATCTTCGGTACTTGTATAAAAAAATAAGGAGCCCCCACTTTCAATACTCAGAAATTTTAGAGATGCCAAATCAGTATACTCATTTGTTACAGCAAATATGTCAACACATACACCAACTTGAACAGCAACAGCAGCCTGTGAAACACATATCAATTCTTCCACTTCTGGGATATGGGAAATAGAAGTAATAATAATAATAATAAGTTAAGTACCAGATCTTTATAAAAAGGTGTCTGCTCTGGGAGTAAAGCACGATCTGCATCCTCCCCTTTGCTTGCATATTGCTCACCATATCGTCTCGTGTCCAATTGTCCAGCTCCATAATCAGGAGGACCAGACAAGAAGGCAAAGATTCTAGCTGCAGTATTTAATAGAAACAACGGCTCGCTGAAATTTTGAAGTAAGATTAAACATTATAGAAGCATGTATACAAAATCATAAATGGTAAGATTTGTGGATATCATAGAAACCTAATGCAAAAGTGTTTCCATATTCGGATCCAAGGTAACTGCAGAGGGCTTCCATTGCCACCCCAAAACCCCGCCCACCTAGCAGAACACCATCCAGTCCTTGACCTGCTCCAGCAGTTCTCTCCCATGAAGTTGTTGGCCTAAGTGTTTCAAGTGTGGATGCAATACGGTCCTTACAGGTATCCACCTTCAATAAAAATATGGAATTCAGATTTGATAAATTTTTTCAAATAGCATAATCTATGTGCTTTGACATCAGAACTTGTGCCCCAGAAATAAAATAAAATAAAATAATATTGTAAAATTAACATACAGGAGCCAGAAACTGCAACAAAGGCATGACATCTTCAAGCTCAACTGTTAAGGATCCCTCTGCATCAGGAGGGATGAAAACATTTTTCACAACAGGTATTGGACCTTGAACATCATACAGTCCTAGTTTGTGGCTGAAGGTAGCAAGCCCAAAAAGTGAACCGGGAGCAAGAGCTGCAATAGAACAAGAACAAAAATAGGAGCGATGTTCAACAGACATACCTTATACAGGAAAGAAATATATATATATATATCGTTTAATAAACATAGTACCTTCCAAAGCTGCCAGCAATGCACTTTTAGTGAGTTCCAGAAATTCCTCCGAAGCTGCAGTGAAACCCGAGCCTTTTATTTAAGTTATAGTAACAAAGTGATAAATACAAATGATATGTCGGATTATTTAGGAGCTGAATCAAGGCAAGAAGACAAATGTGGGAAAAATACAGTGCTTGAAACCAATAAAAGTTTTAGTAACAAAATTAGGGTCAATTTTCTTCATCTTGATGATTGCATCCTTCTACACAGTTCCAAAAAGACCAAGAATAAGCAGAAAGGGGGGGATATGATAGGAAAAACATATCAAAATCATGGCTGTTTTTGTAATTGTGGCCTTATCTTTCTACAAATTATGAGTGAGCCTACCTAGCAGTAAATATGGTTTGTACAATTTGACAAGGCATGGCATATAATCAAATATGATTTGCCTGTGCTTTCTGTCTTTTATCATTCACATTGAGCCTCGAAACATCATGTAATTTGAACCCACAGTCTAAGTGTCTAACCCTCCAGTACCACATTCTAAAGCATGAAAAACGTTGTATTGTCACGACAAATACGCCATATAACTATTAGGATTCATTTGTTCCATGCAAGTTAAAATCACCATAAGCAACATTATTTACTTAAGCGTACGTGAAATATCACACTGATTTCATACACACAACAAACAACAACCAAGCTTTTCCCACTAAATGGAGTCGGCTCATGAAGATTAGCTTCTAGCGCACGAGACCTTCTCAACATTGTGGAGAGTAATTCTTAGTGTTGTTAAATGGCTGCCATGGCAGATAACCACAATGGGAATCTGCCATGGAAGCACTGTAGGCCGCAATGGCGTGTTTATACGACAGACTTATGGCCTTCTCTGCCATGTACAAAATTGGTTATGATTAAAAGTTGAAATCAGTATTCGAGAGAGTTATAAAGATTATTTCAATTTATCTTAAAAGCTACTCCTAGTTAGGAATTAGGATCCAAGTCATAGTCAATGAACCAACAAAACAAGTGTAAAACCTCACTGAACCATCCCATTGTCAAAATCCAATACCAGCTACCACAACAGATGGATAACCAGTAAAATGATGCAAAAAGCAAATAATCTCACATGACAAGTCAACAGCAGCAACATAAACAGGACATGCTTGCAATGCAGCAGCATCGGATTCTTCTTCTGCAAAATCGAAATCCAAAACAGTTAAGTTCCAAAAACCCTAAGCAAAATCAAACTCAGAAACAAAAACAAATCGAAATCCTTACGAGGCAATTCAAGATCTACGAAAGAGGACATCATCTCGGCGCACGATTGAGGACGAGAGTACCGTTCGATCGCGTTGGAAGAGAGGCCATTGAGGTTTCCGCAGAGGGAGCAAGACCATGACCATTGTTCAAGCTCACAGTAGGTGTTGAAGTAAGCCCAGCAATTCTCGCACCGGGGTAGGAGGTCGCCGCCGGATCCGTATGCCGGCGATTGGCCGTTTTCGTCGGCGGCGGCGAATGGTGCGACGGTTACTCCCCATAGGAGGCCGGAGCCCTCGCGTGCGTCGGCGTCAATTGGAAACCGGGATACTGTGGCTCTTACCGCCATGTTGTTTTTGCTTCCGATTCTCAGTCTTCACACACACACTGTTCTTTCTCGTGTGTGTGCACACCGAGTTAGACTCAGACTCGTTACGCCACTTGACTCACTATTTTGTGTTTTTACACGTAAATAATTATATTTAAGTTTTCTCCTATTTTATAAGTTTAATAGTTGAAATTTCACTTTATAAAAGTAAACTAGTAATATATTTGATATTATATAAAATATATTTAAATATATATAAAATTTAAAATAAATGTTTTAATTATAAATGAATAATGATTATATAAATTTAGTTATATTAAATAATAATATAAAAATTAATATATGAGATGGAGAAAAAAATCAAATTTTAACATTTAAAAATAAAAATTATCTTTCAAATAAAGATAATTATTGATTAAAATAAAATAGACATTATGTTGATAATGATTCGTAAAATAAAAAAATTATTTGATGCGATATAAAATATATTTAAATATAAATTAAAATGATTTACTTAATTGTAAAATGAACAAAAATTATATAAATTTAATTATATGAAATAATCATATAAAAAACAAAAAGAAATATGAAGGAAAAAAATTATTATTTAAAAATAAGAATTTTATCTCTCAAATTAAGCTAATAATTTATTAAAATAAAATAGATATTGTGCAGATAGTGACCCGTGTAAAATAGATATTGTGCAGATAGTGACCCGTGAGATAAATAAATTTTTATTATTAAAATTAAAAAATATATTATTATATTTTTTTAATGACAATAAATAGAGAGAGAAATTAAGAGATTTTCTCTTTGCACCTAGTATTGGTGACCTATGAAAACCTAAAAATATGTTTCAGATATGCACATCTGAATGCACTTATCAACATGTTTCGGACGTGCATCTTCGAAGTCACCCTTTTTCCACGTTTTATTACATAAACGTTGGATTTTTAGTAGTTTCGAATATGCATGTCTGAAACATGCTTATAGGTGACTTCGGATGTGCATATCTAGAACTTTCTTTATTTGTGTCATTTTTGTTTACAACAACATCATTACCCCTACCGTATAAACGGATAAATTTTTAAGGATTTTTTCCAAAAATATGAAACGAACATAATAATACGGACATAACGATTAGATTAGATCTTCAAACTAATGAAAACATAATTTAGTACATAAAATATTCGGAAAGTGCATAATATTAAAATATTACATCGATAACAAAAATGAAAATATAACATAGGCTATTGCGTATGCCTGATCCTCACCCCCTTGTGACCTCCTCTGCCTATTGTATTGTATCGTATTGGATGTCTCTATAACCACCCTCGCAACGATGGAAACCGCCTCAGGACCACCCCCTCTCGATGATACCGGAATCTAATGCCTCATGTCCAAGTAGGTGTATCTACTGGCAGACCGGCAAGAGATCAGTGGCATGGTCATCCTCAACATGCTAGTTCTCCAAGAGCTCCTCATAAGCTGACCTAGGTGGTCGTCCAGGATCATCCAGTGTCATGATATGGTGTGACACGTTAAAGAACCATGTCACGAACCCTCTACACAATGCCCACTCAGGGATGTCGGCATCATCTGATACTTTTGTGGCACCAAATGATTCTCCCCATCCTGGAAGATACTATCGAGTTCCCGTCGAGCAATGGTGTCGGGAGCAGCCTGAAAAGGAGATCTCGGTATCTTTTGCACATAGCCAAACAACCGGATACACCTCTTCGGAAGATACCTGACCATAAGATTTGACCCACATGCTAGCCATCCAGAGTATAATGAGATGGGACCGAATGGGACAACATCCATGTAATCCTCAAATGGCATTCATTTGATGTCATCATATTTAGTACGGTCAAGATATACACAGTAAGGTGACAATTTATGATTCCCTCTATGGAGGACATACTTTGCAGCCCTGGACATGTCGTTAGTATAACTCGGATCATGCTCGAAGCCATGAATACGGTAGAAGTGAAAGATTATTCAGCTCTGAAACAGAAATCATAGAATATGTAAGTATAAATTATAAAAAACAAATTAAATGTAACAGTTGAAATGAAAGGTATCATAAGAAGTGTGCAAGAACTAGTGAGTTATCTCACCCTCCACCTTGAAACTTCATTCAACTTCTAGTACATGTATACCAAAACGGCGCCCCCCAATTCCACTCACGGACTGTACTCAGATC